ACTTTATTACTTTTTTTTTCTTTTATTCCATTTTATCCATTCTTTCGCACTCCCTTATTTACCTCTCATTACAGTGCCAATCGTCTAGTACAAAATCGTCCAACCTTGCACCGTTACGGTCACTACACCCATTCCCGTTGGATCACCAAAATACATACTCTTTTGAATTTTCCCTACTATTGAAAAGCACCTAAGTTATGCTTTAACTCTCATACTTCAAATATAAATACCGCTTTTACTTTCTATTTTATTTATGTAAAAAGGATCTTTACTTTTCAAAAAACATTAATAGCATTATCCTTGCCATATTCGTTGGCTGACATGATCTCTGAATAGTAGCTATGACCAGCGTTTTCACGTCCTCGAAGGTATTGAATAAATTGAATTCTGCATGATTCTGGATTAATTGCTGATAGATAGACCTTTCCAATTTGAATGATATAAGGATAGATGCGTTTTTACATACTCTTATTTGTAAAGTGTTTATTCATATAATGTTCTATATATACATATATATATATATCTCACGTATGGACCATAAAACCAAATAAAACTAATAAAATTGTAGTTCTAATAATATATCCTTGTACAGTATTTTCTTTAAGGATAAGGTACACAATAGAAAAATACTTTGTGTATCTCCACTGCAGTGCAAAGCTTTCCAGCATGTAGTTAGTTTCAAAGTCTACCTGTGCGTACAAGGCAGAGTTATGTATGTAAAAAAGTTTGATGTCTCTCAGTCATTGTTAACTGAATGTAACGCAGGATGCATGTTCCATTACATTGGAAAGGTCTATGATTACTTTGACATTATTGACAATTTATTTCATTCTCTCAATGAATATTCTGAACTGATGTAATTTAGAAAACTGCATGACGCAGCGATTTGTTAGAAATTTGTGCGGTGTGGCAATGCAGCGATGCTGTCAACATTTCAATGACTGATCTGCATTGTGCAGGAAACTGGTTCAATTGCACATATTGCTTTATATAAAGAACAATACAGATGCAATGTCAGTATTTTAAAATTCATACTTTTTTATATTTTATATATATATATTATATATATTTATCTATCCATCTGTTCGTTCTGATATTTTGCAGGTTGTTCTCAATATTTAACGCAACTGTGTGCAGGCAACAATATAAGTACCATCTAGGTGTATTTCATCTTTTAATTATGTGATGTTTTCGCAGTGTTCCACCAGTAGTGTCCCAACGCAAAAAGAATGGGTGTTCAAGTAGCCGTTGGCTCGTCGCTTGAAAGGAAAGTATGACGACTTATGAATGCCTTGCCTACTACTTTTAAAAAAAAATTTTTTTTTTAAATATTTAGACGAGTGTCCTGAAAATGCTTTTCATATGGAATATAATAATTCCAAACTATGTGCTTAAGCCTCCTCAATGAAAGTCTTTCAGGACCATCGTTTTTCATACTAAGTGATTGTAAAAATTGAAAAATTCTCTGCGAAACAGGACTTTCAAGATGAAAAATAGTTCTTGACCACAGCACTGCAGGAGATTCGAACAATGTAGACTAATATTTATTTAAAATGAATCTGATATCAATACTGTTTCTGCATGTTTTATAGTATACATACCTGGTAGGAATCACTTCTCATCCTTTTACGGGTCGAATCACTGGATGATCTGTGTTCGTCTCTTCCAGAATAAGAATCCTATAAAGGGTGTTATGTGTAACACATATTACAAACTTTATCTACCTAAGATACACTTATCGTTCTGAACAAACTATTTAACAATAATAATTTATTCATATACATACCCTAGGTCTTTTGTAACTGTTCGAATGTTCACCTCTTCCACCTCTACTCGAATATCTTTCGGATCCACCTATATAAAAATAAATATGAGTATACTGAAATACATTTATTCGTAAGAAATTTGCATTTTATGCAAACTTGTTATTATATGTAACTACAATATCATATGTTCGAACTAACCAGAATTATATTTTGAACGAGAGTCATAACTAGTTGTTGAATATTTAAATCTTCCTCCTCTGGAAGAAGAATAACCTCCTCTACTAGACATATTTCCTCCTGTTGAACCACTGTTCCATTCATTCCCACTACCACCACCTCGTCCTCTATAAGAACTACCTCCCCGTGAACTAAATCCACGTCCACGGGAACTCATACTAGAACTGAAAACGAAAGAATAAAGGTTTTTACATCTGTTGTTTTATAAATATTTATTTCTACCCATTTTCATTGCTAACATTCACTATTCCTCTCTTTTATTCAATAGAATATATAAATAAATATATACATATGAATATATGTATATAAAATTCAAATATTAACATTGGAATCATAGAAAAACAAGTATATTTTTAAAAACATAAATAATTTTATCAGAAATAATATGATAAAACTTTTTATGCATATGATATGGGAAAATTAATCTTACTCGTATCGTTAAATTTTCTCAATGAAAAATTTCTATCGAATAATCATTACATAGTTCTCACTTATCACACACAAATGAAATAAATGTACAGCTTACAAATTCAAACATAAAAATTTGGAATTATAATAAATTGTAACTGCTTTGCACTATTACCAACCTGGATTTAATGTAGCTGTAACTCATAATTACGACTTACAGATGACTTATAGATGTCAGATATGGTTGTGAAAAGTCTATAGACAAAACAGGAATGCTTACATATTGTAAAAAATCATTTACATAAGTTTATCAAAACTTATCAAACATGATCTACTGAACAATTTCGTTATTTACTTTTTTGTAATTCAAAATGCCATTTCAATGATTAAATATTTAGAAAATGTTCTTTAAAGCATAGCACTATTATTTGTTCAATAATCATGTGATATAATTGGTTAAGTACGCAAAATTTTTGCCAAGAGTATTTCTTCTATATAACTTATATTCTGAACCCTATAATTAGCACTAGCTTTGCAGAAATACTAATCACTTTAATGATTATTTACAATGTAAAATATGAGAATAATAATACATGTGTCTTTTTATATTAGGATATCTACATAAAAGATTTAAATTAATGTTACTGTCATGTTATAAAACGAGTATTTTTTACTGCAGAAAAATAGAATGCATTAATTTTTCTTTTTTAATGCTTACAATTATACGACTCTACGCGTACCATTCCGGCGAACACTCGTGCTCATTAATGTTCGAATTTACGGTAAAAAATGTTGAATGTGTTGTCATGTTAAGATATTTTGAGTACTGAACAAAATTGTTTATATTTATATTGCAAAAATCAATAGCTTTATCCGCTATTTCGTAAAATGAATGGCTCCACTTCGCAAAAATTTCGGAATAACCATTTAACTAGAAAATCGTACTTTCGTTAATCGTACAAGGCTTACCTGGTCAAAACGTATAAATTTTCTTTTACGAGATGATATTCCGAAAAACGTGTATGGTAAAAATAATGAATTTTATACAAAACTTCTTACACATGCCGTGGACGCGCGATTCTGATAAAATGTCGTCTTTCCTTTGGGCTGTGGCGTCACTCTTCTTCCGAGTTCTTCGATCGTGAGGAATGAAGGAATAGAACCGGAAGTCGTTGCTGCCATCTTTCACATTCACGTTTTAACAATACAACGACTCATTTATTTCATACAATCAGGAAACAACAAATAAATAATTATTAATAAATTAATTTTATTTATTTAATGCATAATTAATATTTTAAAAGAATTTACCTCCTTACTATACGTAGATCATTTGAACTTGGATCACGTTATATATATCAAATCGATCGTCGTTTAAAACATTTGATTAGCACAATATCGGACATATAACTTCTGCTAGATTTTCATTAAAAACAAAATGAAATCTAGTATTGTCATATTAAATTATTGTTCACAAATTACTTTTCATTTTGGTTATTATCAATGCTTCTTATTATTTTCTACTTTCGAATATTTAATACCAATTGTTTCGCTTATAAGAACGCACGTATAGGACTGCAAAGGGTGAACAAAAAATAATCGCAATTCAGTCTCATATAATTTTATGTCATACTTTAAACGTATTAAGGATTTCTGCAAATTTATTACACACATACGTTAATATTACATAACGATTATAGTAACAATCCATTAGATAATAATTTGTATAATTTTTCATATTGAAATTACTCAAATCTAATAACTAAAATATATAAATTTATTGTAAGTCTGTACGTAATATTTGTTTTAGCACTTAATTTTAGTTGAGAGTTATTATTGTTTAAAAAGATTTCAAGTATAACAGTATACATGTACAAATACATAAACCTAATTTATATCGCATTGTTAGTTACTCTTATCTGTAGTTAGATATGTACTAAGCTAATGTGTCTTCTTATTTAAGGTTTTTTCATAGAATGAAACGTAATGGCAATTAAAAACGTTACTTATGATACACATATCTACACAGAATTCCACACAGAACACATGAAACTTAACATAAGCATAAATGTCAAATATCAATTCATAATTGACATTTCTAAACAGAGAAACTTCAGTTATATTAGTTTAGCTTTTTTGTATATAATACAAGGTGACTATGTACATAAACCAAGAGCATGTTTAAACATGAATAGTATTTATAAAGATTGATAATAAATATCAAAAATATTTTTATCGGCCTAATAATTAAGAATACAGCAATATATTTTTCGCGGATTTTCCAGAAATTTTTCGTAATATGTAATAAATAAAATTATGCAACGAAATGTTCGTATAATGAAAGTGCAAGTAAGGCTGAGCATTCATTCAATTTTAAATTTACATCCCAACGAATGATCTTACTAGTACTTTAGTACTACAACATTATAATCTTACTCACACTTGTGTGTACAGAAGTAAAAATAGCAAATATTTTACTTGTAACGAAGCTACATTTGAATTTATAGTAATTAAAATTATTTTTGATTAATTATACTTTTCATTGAAATTATCATGGTGTTTCTACTATAATCACAGGTAGAATATAAGAATCTCTTATATCTCAACTGTATTAGATGTCAACAAGTAATCCATAATTTTTTAGCAAATTCAATGATCGCTTTTAAGTAAACGAAATCTATGTTATTTCAATGATATTGTCCTTGTCCTCCAAATACCACCCTCTATTTTTAAAATAAAACAGAAACAATAGATTACTTATTGGTAGATCTAATGTAATGACAGCAATTATCAATTACAGAGTGTGCAAGTTCTTTAATACTCTCATATGGTCTTGGATCGGATATTACAGTATTTAATTTTTCAATACCTCCTTCTTCTATAACCAGTGTACAATATTTATGAGCTGTTGAAAAAAAAGTTATAGTTTTAGTAAAAATTGCTTGAAGTATATTTCTGTTTAGATATAATCTTAAACTATCATTAAATAATTTTGTAATCGAATGAAATTTAATTTTATATACTTACGATAAACAGTTGTGAGATTAGCAAGTGCCCACACTGCCCAATGCTGGCATTGTGGTGTATGATATACATCCAACAAACGCAATAAAGGTAAAAATGAGCGATAATTGATATTACGCCCTGTGCGTATATCCCATTGCTGAATAGCTTCGACCATATGTTCTAGAACTTCATCCCGACTTGGTCTTGTAACTGTCCATGCTTTGACGCCATCGGATGCTATGTGAGCCAATATACCAGCAGCATTGTAAGGTATCTAAAAACAGAAGGCATGTATTAAATATTACACATATATATTGTTATTGAAATCTAATCCAATGAAAATACCTCGATGCCTTCACTGTCAGAATGTAATAGATTTGCAAAGAAGCTAATGTTCTGCTGCTGTGCTAGGTGTACTCGCAAATGTTGAACCTCAGCTACGTTTCCCAATAGTCCCATCATATTCTTCAGTAATTCTTCTCGGTTGCGGTATTTCTGTGCAAACTTTATTTGTCAAAATTTAGTATTATTTAAAATCATAATTTTATATAAACATGAAAACTAGCAAGTAGCACCTTGACACATTCGTGGAAGAACTTCATGCCATTTTCATAAAAGAATCGTTCACAGTTTATTGGGGTCTCGTCAGTCATGTTCCACATAGTTGACCATGCTACTTCCAAAACATCATCGAATATATTAAATTTAATTCTATACTCGATCAATTCAAGCATCGTTTTGATGCAACCAAGATTTCCTAGTAAACGTTTCTCTCTGCCTGTTACTTGACACGCTAAACTGTTTAAAAGAAATATTCCAATACGTTGAACGTAACCTTCTTGCTGTGCATGTTTGGCTGAATGTAAAAGCAGTTTCACCAGTGTTTCATAATTCGACATCTTTCAAAGCATAATATGAAAAAAAATATATTTTTAGTTTTTAGGAAACTATGAATATAAAAATTAGACATTATTCATTCAAATAATTTATACATACAACATCCTGTGGTATACGAAATTGACTTAACGTCAGACAACCATTACGCATCATAGTTTCTTCATCTTTATAAGTGTTCATTGCAGCAAGCAGAATACGAACAATTCTTTCCTTCAATCTTGGTTCAATTTCATTTTTTCTGTGTACAATGAAAATCTTCACGACATAAAACAATGTTGCACTATAAAAAAACATGTATTTTGTATTAATTTCTTGGAACTTACACTTTTAAGTATGCAAGTTATACTATAATTTGATTATAAAAATACCTTCCCGATATTTGTATATATTTTTCTTCTAGATGTTTTTCCATGGCATCTAATATTACGCAAAGACCTTGATCCATTCTACGACAATTTTCATACCGATATACATGATAAAGATCATTCAGCACTTTTAATAATAAACCAGGTTTATTATTCATGCAAACATTGGCTGCTACCAGTATTTGATCTTCATTTGCATCCCCTGCAATCTGATATAAAAAAATATAATTATTTAATACCTTGTGATCAAGGCAGCAAGTACAAACACTATGTAATACTGTTTATCGTCATTTACCAATTTCGCTGGTATATTTTGACGTCTACATGCTCCATTCTCTGTTGCATAGAGCCCTAAGAACTGTAATGGTCTGTTTACTCTAGAAGCAAGACCTGGTATATCGCAAAGCTCATTATTGCTTGTGTCATCAACTTCGAAGCAGGAAGAGTTTTTCAATGCTTTTTCTTCATAATCTTTTTTATGTACTCCTGCTAAGTTTGTACCACTAATATCCAAAGAAGTTAATTGTGGCAAACTATATACTATATACTCTAGAGTAATGGGATTATCAAATTTTCCATATGTAGGGTTCCATTGGGAAATATCTAAGTGCCTAGTTGTAATATATTAGAATGTCAGTATTAGATATTCAATTTCAAATGTTACATTTTATATTGTACTACTATAAAAATAAATAAAATGTTATTAAATACCTTAAATTTGTTAAACAACCAATGCTTTCAATGAAAGCTTTCGTTTGCCTATTAATTCTGACATTATATAAAATTAAAGATCTTAAGTTAGGGAATAAGCTACAAAACTCAAAACTGTCTATAATATTATTAGATAGATCTAAATGTGTTAAGTTGGGCATTCCAGCCAAAAGCGAAGCATGCCTTGGCATACGAGTTTCCACAAATTGTAAAGCCAGACTTCTTAGATTCGGTATCTTAAACACGTATCCTCGTTTCTGATATTCTAATGATGAAAAAATTTGTTTATATTAATTTCATATATTTTGAAGTTTACCTTAGTTTTTCTCAGTCATTAATATAAATAAGTTATAAAACATAATAAGATAAAAGTATATGAAATTTATAAAACAGACAATGATTTAAATCATTTTACAACATCACAGGTAAAAAAGTATAATATTAATTTTAACGTATACAATGTACAATTTAATATTAAAAGATATTTGTAGATTAGATTTATACTCGATTTAAACTACTTTCAGCTGTTTAACTATGACAGTTACCAAGAAAATAGTGAGCCGCAGGCTTACCAAAAAAATTTGGAATAATAAGATGTAAATATATTCCACGGTACGTTAAACTTTGCAAATTCTCTGCATTATCGTTTATGTATTCTATAATACGCTCTGTTACACGAGGGCAGTCTACGAGTTCCAATTCAACAAGCTTATGAGAAGCTAAAATCTGTGCCGAGTGGTCAGTCATATTAGATCCTACAACTTTGACACATTTCAGTTTAGTTCTTGATGTATCCCGAAATATGTTAAAAAATTCATCATGAAATTCCACAGTTTCGTTTCGTAGAACATATTCGACCAGTTTGTTACATATTTCGCTTGGCAAGATTAGTCCTTTTCTGAGAGTTCGTAAAGCGTCTTCATTTTCTCCTTCCTCTTTTACCGAAATAATATCCAAATTCTTACAGATCACTTTGAAACAAAGTTCCGTTAGAGTTTCCGAACCAACAAATTCATCTAAACGGGAGAAGTCATCTATATCCGCCATTCTGTACGGAAATTTACAAAAATTGCGTAAAAAGGTTCATAAGAGGATACTAGCAACAATTATGCAATTTCAACTGTCAAAACGCATCAGCTGAGCCCTCAGCACTCAAAATCGCTACGGCAAAGTGTCTTTTTTATTTACATCTTCCTTCCTTTGTTGTCGAATAACAAAATCGATATACGTTTAATTGGTATGATGACGAATCACTCACTAAATAAGTTCAAAATAAACGTATGTAAGTAGTTACGCTTCTAGACGGTCACGAAATTCATCCGACACGAATTGGTGCGCAACTATATATGTATCCGTACTTGGAATTTTGACATTTCACTTGACTAACGTAGTGACGTTGTTCCTGAATACCCGACTGCATGTAGCGTGTAGAATGCAACAGCTATTATCATTGTCCTATAATTTGCCGATGAACCTGTTTTGTAGAGAGTTCTAAATTATGAATCAAGTGACACTACTTTTAACCCGTTAATAAGCTGGTATTGTCTCCAAAAATAAACTTCACGTTTTTGAAAACGTTTATTTAGGTATTCTAAGAGAGTCCTTTATTTTTAGTGAGAAAAATTAAGAATCTAACGACAACACTGTGCTGTTTTTCAATATTAGAACAATGATATTCTGCATAACTAACAGTCAAAATATATAACTGTTCTCTCTGCAATTTAAGTGTCGCCAGCTGTTATGAAAGCTTTCTCTTATCACGTGATACTCAATGATATAGTACACATATAGTGTAATAGATACATACATACATCATACATACATACATACATACATATGTAGTATTTATATCTCGTCATTTTTACAAAACCATAATAATTATTTAATGTTTTTTTCTCTTGGTGTTACTTTATTCGATAAATTATCTTATAATGATAAGATTAATGTTTATCTATTGTACAGTTTTTATTTAATGTTAGAATTTTAATAACATATTAAAGAACACATAATAGTCTTTAACACAGACTTAAGATCCGTAAAAGTTGTAAAATTGAAATTGACTAGTACTTTATTGTTATCATCAGATGGCACGACGTTTCTCATACGAACTTCCATGTAATGGAATTTAAATGTATGAAAATCATTTTATTTCTGCATTGTTAGTGGAATTTATCAGTATAGTTAAGAAATCTAATAATCCCTATCGTCGATTGTATTTTACTAATCTATTAATTTTGTGTTCACTGCTTATTTATAAAAATCGAAAACTATTACCTGGGAACATTAGCTCTTTGTAAAGCTCTACATTCTAGATAGTAATTTAAACAATGTTTTATTAGTAATTTGAATGTATATCTATCTATATTCTCACAGTTACCACGCATTATGAAAGCAAATTGATGAATCATAAGAGAAATATATTGTAATAAAAATATCGAACTCGGATATCATTTCAAAATATTTTATTTATTTTTCAATTGTAAAAATGTTGTTCATCGTACTTATCTTTATTTTATAAAATAATATTAATCAATAACTTCACAATTGACAAATACTAAGAATTTTGACGATACAATACAGTGGAAGGCAAACAATAAAATAGTTTATTTTAAAGCGTCTCAAAACTTACACATCAATATAAATGTTTTAAATATAATACTTACAAAATCTTAAAATGCTTTAAATTTATTTTATTTCTAAGTAAAAAAGATTCAATTTAAGTACTATGTATACTAGATTAAGAGATTACAATTTAAGATCCACAAGATATGCAATTATCTCCATTTTCGCGGGAACACACAAGCATAGCATCCATTTCTTCGTTACTTTGAATATTTATCCATTCATTTGTTTGTACAGAAGTAGATTCATCTTCATTTTCTTTTACAGAATTAATTGACTGGTTAAGCGACGTAATGCTGGTATTTTGCAATTTTGATTTGTCAACTGTAAATTGAAGTGCATTTGCTGCCGGTTTTGTTCGTAAATAGTACATACCGGTCTTTAATCCCTGTAAATAGAACGACATAATATGAACAGAACTCAAATCAATCGATATTTAACATTCAGGTTGACATTTTTGGATTCTTGTATATCTCTATCAGCTTACCATTTGCCATCCATAAAAGTGCATCGAAGTTAACTTTTCAGTCGTTGGTTTAGCTATATGAACATTCAATGACTGTGACTGATCTATGAAAGCACCGCGATCAGCTGCCATTTTTAAGATTACTTTTTGTGGTATTTCCCAAACGGTTTTATAAAGCATTTTCATATCTTCTGGTATACGTTCTATACCCTATTTGATACGAATAACATTATTATATAACTTGTAAAAATAAATGTGATATGATAGCAGATAGCAATATAATAATAGAATTTGAAGGTATTAACCTGAATAGAACCATTATTTGCTATAATTTCATTTTTCATGCCTTCATCCCAGAGATTTCTTTCAGTTAAATCTCGTAATAAATGAGGGTTCACGACTTGAAATTCTCCAGACAGTACTCGCCTTGTATAGATATTACTAGTATAAGGTTCAACCGATTCATTATTTCCTAAAATTTGTGCCGTAGAAGCTGTTGGCATGGGTGCAATTAATAAAGAATTTCTAACTCCATGTTTCGCAATTTTTTCTTTCAATGTACTCCAATTCCATAAATTAGTAGGTGTAACATTCCACATATCATACTGCAGAATCTGAAAAATTTATTGCTATTTTTTTCAATGTTCTTTTCTGTTTGTTGGATTATACTTTATAATCATATTAAACCAATTAGATTTAATTTTATAAACTTGATAAAATACTTACTCCTTTACTAACTGGACTACCTTCATACGTTTCGTATGTACCCTTTTCCATAGCAAGCTCACAACTTGCTTCTAAAGCACCATAATATAATGTTTCAAATATCTGAATATTAAGTTTTTGGGCTTCTTCACTTTCAAATGGATACTGCATTAAAAGGAATGCATCAGCAAGTCCTTGTACTCCAATACCTGAAACGTAACATTAAAATAAGTATCGTTGAACAATTTAATATATTTTTCTTTTATATTTATATGTAACAAACAAAAGAAAAAGAACATACCAATAGGCCTATGCCTCATATTAGACGTCTTTGCTTCTGGAATTGGGTAATAATTGATATCAATTACGTTATCTAGATTACGAGTGACTATTTTGGTTACGTTTCGGAGTTTCTCAAAATCAAAAGATTTAGTAGCAGAATTCACAAACATATTGACAGCAATCGAAGCTAAATTGCATACTGCAACTTCACTTGGACTAGAATATTGTACAACTTCTGTGCACAAGTTGCTGCACTTGATCGTTCCTACATTTTGTTGATTTGATTTTCGATTGCAGTGATCCTTGTACAACATATAAGGAGTTCCCGTTTCTACTTGTGCCACAAGAATAGCAGTCCATAAATCTCTTGCCGGAATTTGACGTTTATATCTTTTTTCAGATTCGTACCTAAAAAAGGATACTTCAATAAGATTAAGATGTATTAGGTTGTAACATACATTTGTTTGGTTGTATTCAACAATTTTGTTATTATTAGTTTTATATTGACTGTACCGTGTATAAAGTGCTTCAAATTCATCTCCCCATACATCAGCCAAACCAGGAGATTCGTGAGGGCACATTAAAGTCCAAACTCCATTTTCGAGTGTTCTTTTCATGAAGAGGTCAGGAATCCATAAGGCATAAAATAATTCCCTTGCTCTGTTTTCTTCTTTGCCTATGAAATGTTCAATAAAATATAATATAAGAATGCGAAGATTGTATTTAGTATTAAATGAATTAACCAATAATGTACCTGTGTTCTTCTTGAGATGCAAGAATTCAAAAATGTCTGCATGCCATGGTTCTAAGTATATGGCAAATGCTCCTGGTCTTTTATTTCCACCTTGATCTACATATCGAGCCGTATTATTGAATACCCTGATCATTGGAATTAAACCATTGGATATGCCAAGTGTACCAGCTATTGGAGTTCCCTTTGCTCTAATGCAATGGACATTGAGACCAATACCACCAGCTGCTTTACTAATAAGCGCACATCTTTTTAATGTATCATAAATTCCTTCTATGCTGTCTTCTGTCATTGTCAGAAGGAAACAACTAAAAAATTCATTGACTTATAATAATGAAATCAAATTATGCTGAAATATATTTTATATTATAATATATTATACATTTACCTCGACATTTGCTGTTTGACAGTACATGCAGAGAATAATGTTGGTGATGCATGTGTGAAATAACGTTCCGATAAAAAGTTATAAGTTTCTATAGCTTTTTCAATATCCTCACCATGGATTGCGACTGAAACTCTCATTAACATATGTTGTGGTCTTTCAACAACTTTTCCATGGATTTTCAGTAAGTAACTTCTTTCAAGAGTTTTAAAACCAAAATAATTGTAATTAAAATCTCTGTCATAAATTATTGATGAATTCAATTTGTTTGCATTATTTTTTACAATATTATAGTATTTTTCATGGATAACAGGTCTGTGCTCATTTGAATACTGCTCCCTTACATTATATAAATCATGTATTACCTCTATAAATAAAATAAAACAACACTGAAACCAGCTTAGAATAATGATTAGTTTATGATGTAAATTAAATTAAGTACCACTGAAACTTTTTTTTGTTTCCTTATGTAAATTAGATACTGCAATTCTTGCGGCTAATATAGCATAATCTGGGTGTTTGGTAGTCATAGTAGCAGCAGTTTCAGCTGCAAGATTATCTAATTCAACCGTACTAACCCCTGAATATAATCCACTAATAACGCGAAAAGTAATTGCAGACTGTAAAAATAATTAAACAAAAATTTTATAAAATATTAACATGCACTGATTTTAAGTCAATAACGTATGCAAAAACAAGTGCATCATTGATATATAACTTCTTTCTGAAATTAACAATGACTGATAAACAGTTAATTATTAAACTTACAGGGTCCACATAATCCATGTCTAGGTTGTAACATAATTTTTGAATTCTAGACGTTATTTTGTCAAAATGAACATCCTCTTTATGTCCATCTAAAAAAAATAATTAATTTCATGTCACAAAAACTTGTATTGGTGATGAAATAAATTTAATTTTATAAAATAGCAACGCAATTCTTAGGTTCATAATTTAAATACATTTAATAATATTGAACATTTTTTTGTCTTATGTAGCAATTAAATAATTACATTTTTTCTAAATTGACTAGAAATGATTTTTTATTTATCTTAGTTATGCGTACTTTCAATAAGTCATAACTGAATTCTCAAAATCGAAGCATGTTCACATTTGCATTTGAACTTATTTATATTACTACCTACTACATTAATGGATTGTACCATATATCACTTACCACGCTTTATTACAAACATTTTCCCCTTTCCAACCATTTTTGTATGAAGATAAAGTATTCTTTTAGCAATAAATACTTTTAAATATCCTTTGTACTCGCAGAAGTGTTCCACCAGTTTATGTCGTTAGTCGGTTTTGGCGCGAAGAGGAAGTATCTAATACGGCAGATGCAGTATATGCATAGACCAAATAGACACATATATAGATAGGTGCTGCAGCTTACGAGACTCGGTGTTACATGTTCTGGATTATCGACTGTGTAAAAAATCAGAGGTTTTCTCTGCCCTCTACGCTTAGAGCACGATCAATAGGAAAACTACATCGGACAAAATGATCGAAGCTGACCAAGTATAATGAATTTTTCATTTTTTATAAAAACTAGATCATTGAAATCTGTTCATTTGCTATGTTGTGGTAATTGTTTATCTGATTATTTTATATTATGTCTATAATTACAAGCGAACAATATTTAAATTATTCACCTTTTTGTTTAACTGTGTTTGAATTTTTGTCAATCGTTGTTCTGCATTATTTTATTGCTGAAACGTCACGTTGCGACGTTCAATCCAAAGAATACAGAATTTCTGATATCGGCAGTTCTGTACTGATTTTCATTTAAAATTCACATATTTTTTATTCTCATTTCTATCACTTATAGCGTCGCCATGTAAAACCAACGTTAGTCGATATGACAGAACGTGACTTGAAAATGGTAAGGGGTACTAGTACCCCCGAGAACGTATGACAAAATTTTACATTAGTTGTTATGTCTCTTCATATACCGTATCTATGGTAGTACATCACTATATATGGTCACGTGACGGTGACACTTATATCGTTAGTAGTTTGAATTCAAACTGCTATACAGCATTTGTCTTCCCCTGATAAATATGTACCATACTTAGAATTGTATAAATTTAAAAAAATTTGGCGAGATGCTATAAATGTTATAAACCATTGAATCTGTTATAATTTGAATTTTATTATATATACATATTTATAAAGTAATTGTTTTTCCATATAATATTTTAACAAGTAAAAGATAAACTTGATCGATAAAAGAACAATAATTTGATAATCCGCGACTACAATAAATATTCCACTCAAAACTTTGTTTGGTATCTTTTTCTCTTTACAGGCGCCCTCGTAGACTAGTCCAAACAATTTCGAATGAAAAGGCTACAATATTTTTGCAACATAATTACTTTTTTATTCTCCGAATAACGTATGTCATCAACCATAAAATACAGATATAACAGTCAGTGTCCTTGCGTGTGCGGTCAGTGTCAATACAGCCACAATTTAACGATATCATGATACTTCTTTCCACAGTCTCAGTTATTAGTTATAAGCAACCCGGATGCAGTGATTTTAATAAAGAAAAAAGTATTTCATTACCTACTTCTAAAATAGTATCACCAAAATCCATCCTACCGAAATTTCGTAAGAGAACAGACATTGCAAAGAACGAATTGAAATGGCATTGTAATCTTTAATGTTACCAAAGAATTATCCCTAAACAATATCTAGTACTGTATAGAATTCATTCAGTGGATCTAATTTGGGAATATCTCAACAGCGGATATATACAAATGAAATGTTTCCTGTTCGCAGTCATTGGTGTAGCATAATCGGTTGGTTATTAGTGGTCTTGGGGCCCTCTTATCATTCACATAGAGTGACACTATGGCACTAATTTGTTGAATGAAACGATAGGTGTGTTGGTGCCTTGGGGGACTGAACAGTATTGTGGGGTAGATCTGTAGGGTACAGCAGAAA